AATTTTATTAATAGTTCCAACTTTATTCTTTTATAAATTCTATATGGAAGAATTGTGTTAAATCTGGAGACTTTGGTATCAGTACTAATTGCCAGTTAAACTGGTAACAGTGACTGTTGTTTGCTTCCAACCTTCATTGATGTAGGTAAGACAAATAAGACTATTATGTTAGAAGAAATGAGGACAACCTGCATATAATCTTACTGACTTAATTAACATTATGCAAATTATTAAATGTATAATATATTTTTTACTAATATCTTATTAAGTATAAGACATGGGAATAACTCTGACAGTTACTTGCTACTTATCAGTGACAAATTTCCTGATTGTGATTAAACTATATAGTAATAAATTGGCTCACATTGCCAATTAATTGTAGAAAATGTTTTTTTTAAAAATTATTATTATTTATTTAATCCCACACTATTGAAACTTTAACTGTTTATTAAAGAAGAATTTAAACCAGAGTACTTTTGATGGGGAGAGAAGCTCTTTTCTTGGATAGAATAAAAATAAGAATGTATAAAGGACATTTACAAATAGAACAGAACTATTTATAATTGTTCTCATGTAAGTAGGTTAGCAAAATAATTTGTTACCTGTTTGAAATGAAATTAAAAGTACAAATGTATCTTTGTTTGGAAAAATAACTACAGTAGAACCTCGAAAACTCGGCTCTTGATAACCCGGCACTCCGGATAACTCGGCCACACCCTGGCAGGGCAAAAAAATCCTTAGTTAATTAATTTTCATTATAGACAGCTTTATAAAAGTATAAAAGCTCTCATAAAGTATTTTTCTAAGGTCTGTCTTATCAAGTAAATTACTATACACAGTGTATTCATTAATTTTCATTTTCATGTAGTAAAGGCTCTATGCCTTCATAAAGGACGTACTTTTCCTTTGTTTAAGGGTATTTGGGCAGTTTATTCTCTGTTATATTCTCAAGTAAACAATACATACAAGTACAGTACAGTATTTTCTGAGGAAACACTCGTACTTATTTTTTTAACCCCATTCCCGATAACCCGGCATTTTCACAAACTCGGCCACCCTTCGGTCCACATTAGGCCGAGTTTTCGAGGTTCTACTGTATTTAAAGTTAAAGCATGTGCAAAAATCAGTTAGCACCAAGAACATTTTGAATTATATATTTTTCTTTTATAACAGTTTAAATGGAATTATTAGAAAAGTTCAATTATTAAATGTAACGATAGGGAACATTATTCTTTTGGAATAAGGGAAAAAAGAAAAGTTATTGCAAAAATCTAATTCTAAATGATAATGCTAAATTCTAAATGAAATCTCTTGCATCGAATATATACAATTTGGCACAAAAGAAAATATTTCGGTGACCGATGCATTTTTTTTATAGTCAACATTATATTAGCTGCAGAAGATGAATATGTTTTTACACAATACTTAATTTCTAAATTGAAGAAAAACATAGCAGGCCATTGATTGCCACAGAAATTACAAATTTTAAAATTTACAAAGATGACGCTGCGGATTGGGTTTAGGTCAGGCCTTTGGCGCAGGATTTCAAATTTCACGGGGGGGGGATCAATCCGGGATTAAAGTGGGAACCCAAGAAAAGGGTGTAGCCATCCGAGAACATCTCGGCAAAGTGCTCTTTAGAATAGACCGCACACCAAATCTCACATTGCAATTAAACACAAGTTTTCTAATGTTTTTAATTGTCTTCACACATTCTGCAGTCTGATTTCATATTTTTAAATTTATTTTTTAAGTATCAGATCCATTTAAATATTTTATATCAGCTAATTCTAAAGTATACCACAACTGGAATGGAACGATCATTAATCATTCGAATTTTTTTGGAATCTCAATAACGGGAGAATAGTCTTCCAGACAAAAACATTTAAGGAATTTAAATGTCATCAACCATTTCGCAATAGACGTCGTTCGTAGATGTCTGCTGCAGATATCAATTCAATTTACTTTATGCACGCGAATCCACTTACGGGAAACCTCGTCGGCGATCCACGTCCATTCAGTTAGTCTTTATCAATCGGAGATAGTGTTTTAGCTGTTCATAGGAGTGCATCCCATAGACTAATTCTCTTTCCTCTATGCGGAAACGGAAGAGGCGCCGGTGTTTTGTTGGCTTCGACCCTCCGTATCGGTGTGACGTCACGGAGCGTTACGGAGAAGCCATCGCGTCGTTTCGACTTACCGAGAAAGGAATCGAAAATAACGTTTTCTAAAGCGTTTTTTTACTCGAAGACGAATATCGATTACTTAAAAATGCCACCGCCTCGACGAATCGGATAACGTTTTAGAAAAAAAAGACTCGTTTGTCGGACAGAAGTAAATGTGGGTTAAATAGAGGGAGAGGGTGATTTTTTTCCAGGTTTTCGGGGGTTTTTCGAGTCGGAAATCGTACGTGGGCGAAATAGGGAGGCGGGCGCCCGTGCAGATTGGCGCAATCGGCGCGCCACACCGGGTACACCACTGCAGCTATTGTGTCGGCCATCTTGACGCCCCGTTCGACGTCGTCCGTGGCTACGATGTAATTCAACTCCCGGTAAAGTGTTGTTCTCTGTCTGTACTCGTCGTCGCCCGCTTCCATACTTATCCGTGGCCGGGAATAGGGCGGAACGACCGGACGGCGGTCGCGGGTTCGGACCTTTACCCATCGCTCGCGACGCTCCTTGTCTTTATTTATTGCTATTTTTGTCCGTGGTTCTTCTTTCCCCCTTTATGCTTTCGTTCGGTCTCGATTCTACCCCTCGATGGCCGGGGAAATTTGTCACGGTACGTTTTGTCCCCGTTCTTGTCGGATGCGAAGCGTGTCCGGGGTGCACGGCGCCCTTCAAACGTGCCGCTACTTCTCTTATTTTTAAGTAAATATGTAATAAACATCGACTCTCGCGATGCGCTACATCGATTTTCGTTCGTCACTGCCGTTGTTTCGCTTGGTAACAGATAAAACTTCGTCGTGAAAGAAGTGTAATAAACGCGATTTGTTGGGGTGATGCATTGATCTGTAGTTGTCATTGATGTAGTGGGGGGAGAGGTTTATTTATTCGTCGTTTGTATGATCCTTAATGACTTTTCTCCCGTAGTAAACGGTTGTTTCTGGTCGTTTTGTGTGCTCTCTCTGAGTTTGACGCAGCTGACATTCTTATTGCAGAACGATGTGAGGGTTTAGTGGGATGTTGCAAAAATGTAATGAGATATGGAGATCTTTAAGAATGTCTCCGACATGACAAAATTACTCATTTTGGAGATATTTGGATCCTCTGGTGCTGCTCTGCTGTGACAGAGACCGGAGACGGTGCGGAGGATGCCGCCGCGATTTCAAAATAAATTTTTGTCTGGCCGTGGGTCGTCATCAACGGTTATCTGACCAAAGAGCTGTTGAAAATTTTTAAAAGCTAACTTTACTTGAAATGATTATGATCCATAATTTGATTAATAAATTACAAAAATGGATTGGTCAAAAAAGGTTTTAATCGCAAAATGTTTTATGATGCAAATTTTATCTCAATGGAGATTTTTTACACTGCCAAAGTCACATTTAAAGGAAGCATAAAAATCAGAAAAGATTTGGCCATTTTCACAAATGACTTGGGTTAGAAAGAAGAATTAACGATTAAATGTGTCATGCGTACTTAAACTATTTTTCACATTTTTTTTATATTTCTAGATATAAAGAATTCCTAATTTATTTGTATGATAAAATAAACTAACATATTCTAGAATAAGTAGTTTTATTATTTATTCAGTCATACAGTAGCTAAATTTAAATTTGTGCAATGTATAATGCAACTAGTGTTTCTTTCTGACTGATCATTTTTTAAATTCTTTTATTCCTTGTCATCTAGTTTGTTAATACTTTTTATTGCATGTAATCTTAAGTTTCAAAACAGTTTAGATGTATATAGACTAAAATTTATTTCTTTTATTAGCCTTAATTTAGAAATGAGTTGCTGGATCCAAAGCAAAACAAAAAGTAAATCGCTCGTATAAAATTAAATTACCGTATTAACTATGTAATGGTTTATGACTGAAAAAAACCCAATGTGTAAAAATAAACTCAGTTTGTATTTTTAACATTATTTTTCATAAATAGATGTGGCATTAATGCAAAATTTACTTTCTTAAATTTCTATAATTGTTGTCAATTATGCATTCTGTTTGATTCACATAGGAGTCTATCTGTTTTGTTAGCTTGTTTTTTGTATCTGGATCTGAAGCCGAAATGCAGTTTTTAAAAAATGTATTGTCTGGACTAAATTTTATCCCAGCTTCTATAAAGTATTGAGTACTTTATTTTTCATTTAGCAACTTCACTTTTATTTAAATTAGTCTGTAGTTTAATTATCAGCTCGATATGGTTAAAGTGTACAATTTAGTTAAATTTAATGCTCCTATAAACATAAAATTTAGACACGTAAACACATTTTTTTTTTTTTAATGAAGTCTGTCGACAGATAAATTTTGCAATATTGTAAAAAACCAAATAAACTAAAGCAAGAATATTGAACTGTGCGACTTTCGTTTTTTGCGTTTGAAATTATCGACGCAATTCCAATTTTTAATATCTGATTTTTCCGTTTCTTTGATTCTAAAAGTTTTTCTAATTTTATTATTTTGCAGTCATTTTTTTATTGGACATTTTTATTGTTTAAATCTTCTTCCTGTGTATTTTTTTAGATATTTACTATAAGTAAAAAACTTCTTACTTTCCTGCATTAAAAATGAAATGAACTCATAAATTAAATACACATTTTGATATTGATATGTAAGGTACTTAGTGTTACTTGACAACTTAAATGTAAATATTTTAACATTTAAATAAATTTATTAAATAACTGTTCTCGTAACAATGTGTGTTGATTTAATAAATATATTGTTTAAAATTAAGAGAAACGTTCCTCGGATATTTGGTAATTTTTATTGATTCTAAGTAATTATTTTTCTGTAAATATTAAAAAATTAATCGTCCGTATCTATAATTCTTTTTACAGTGCTTCTGCCGGATCGACCGTTGCCATCGATAACAAAATAGAACAAGCAATGGTGAGTCCAAGTTATATTAATTAAAGAGTGATTTCTCTAGTCTTATGGTCATCTATATTTTTATGATTTAAATGATGGAAAACAATGGTTATTAATAAAGCCGGTACCTTATAAATAACATGGAATTGTAACAGTTTGTAACTAAGTGTTATTCCAAAAATTCCACGGTGTGCTTAAAGAAATTGGCGAGAATAAAAAAAAAATAGTCTGCTTTTGGTATCATGCATTCTTGGACCATTAACACTTGTGGGTTAAACCATAAAATATTTTTATTGAGAACTGTTTTATGTTTTAACAGTAATAGGAAGAAAAAATACTAAGAAATAGATTTGACATAATTTTTTTTTATTTAACTGGAAACAATAATTGTGCAAATAACCAGACTGCACATTAAATACATTTTTATAGATTTGGAAATTAAAAATATTAACAATCATTCACACTTAATGATTATACAGTAATTAATAAAATAATTCTTAAATTTTTTAAAATTTAAAACAAAGAATGAAACTTTATTTCTAAATAAGTATATATTGCTTATTAAATAGTTAAGTATTTTATTTTAAATTTGTTTAACAAATTTTTGAGTATGGATGTTAAAATAACCACATGCAGAAGCCATTACACCTAAATCAATGACCTATTAAATGCAAGCAAATGCTTTTAGACTGAATCAGTCTATTTTTAGTTTATCTAAGGCAGACAATCTCTACCTGTCTATCACTAAAACAACAAATTAAATGCCAAAATGTCATCTTACTCCAAAAATATGCTTATTGTCTCATAGATTTTTTCCTGGATGATCGATAAACATTACTGATTGCCAAAATTAGTTTAAACTTCTAAAACGAGTCTGATGAATCAGAAAACGTATTGGCTATACATGAATTAATCTTTAAATTGTAGCAAGGACTAACTAAACTAGAATTAATGAGAATACATGCCTCACACTTCTATCTTCCTATATAAAACTTTTATTTAAATTATGAGTATTTCAAATGCAAGCTTATGATTTTAAAAATGAGTTATCCACACACTGAATTAAATAGTTGTGGCATGCACCAGTTACATAATCTTTAATGTTACAAATTTTCACAATTGCAATAATTTGCATATTTTGATAGAAACTTAGCTTCATTTATGTTACTATGATTGAATATTTGATTCATTTTTTTATGCAGGTTTATGGACTAATAAAATTTGTGTTATGACTTAAAATGCCATCTTTGAAGGGGAAAAGATGCAATTAAGATATTGTAATTCAAACGCAGACTTTTTTATGAAGACTTTAATGAATAATCAAATTATTGCTATAATTGGATCCTGCTCTTCCACTGGTCATTAACAGTACAATATTTATGCATTGTATAAGTGACTGTTTTGATTATTGGGTAAGCTTTATACCCGTGGATATCAGACAATATAAATTACTAATAATAATTTGGAATTAAAAAATGCACCATATACTTATACTTTCTGATTACAAAAGTCTCTTATCTATGGAGGATAAGTAGATGCCTGAAACTGTGGATAGTACTGAATCCTATATATATATTAAATTTTTTCCTATACATATGTACTTATGATAAAGTTTAATTTAGAAATTAGGCACAGAAAGATATTACTAACAATAACTAATAATAAAGTAGAACAATTATAACAACAAACCACAATAAAAGTTGTGAATTTGGTGTCAGAATATAAGTTTGTTTCATTTCTTATTAAGTTGAAAACTTCTTTTCCCTTAAAGGAAGCATTTTACGGCTTCTTTTTAGCATGTCCAAATTTCCAGTATCACTACCTTTGCACTTTGGGGTCATTACTACATAAAATACAGGTTACTCAAATGTGAGCACTGCAACACTCAATTCAATAACCGACACTGCTACTAAGAGATTAATGGGTGGATAGCATATATGGCCCAGATATGGACAAAAAGAATTTGCCTCCCAAATGGGACAGTGCAAGATTTTGTTTCACTGCCCAGAATGACACACAATTTGAAGCTTGCGAATCATTTTTACGGAATTTTTCTTTGAATATTTTCGGATCACGATCGACTTTGGAACTTACAGTAGCTCCCCTATCTGTAAGCAAACTTACAGATACGGGAACGGGAGCTACTATATATTGTTATCCTAACATTGTCAATATACCAATGCTAAGAACAAATCTTACACTAAACCCATAGTTTGTTTACGTGTTAGCTTCTCTTTTCTAACTCATTTGTATTTAATTTTTAAGAGAGAAATCCTCTTTAAAACAATTGTCCAGTCCTTCCAATTTGTAGATATTTCACTGGAGAATAATTAAAACCACTAGAATTTTATAAGAAAATTCAAATTTCAAAAGCAATGGGCCTGTTAAATTAATTTATATTATTCAATATTGATTTAATTAAATGTGCTACAATTTAATAATAAAAAATGTTATTTACACAGATACACACAGAGAGAGAGATATTTGGAAAACATTATTCACTCTGTTGATAAAATTTTACTACCTCAAAAATTTTAAATTGACTCTGAATTATTCTCTCAAATTTGTAATTTAAAAATTACAAGAATTTAAAATAAGCAATTATTTTGAGTTCAAGAAAAATACATCCTCATGTAAGATATGCATGTTCATTTTGCCTAAAAGCAAAATGAGCCTGCAGAAAACCATTTGTATTATGCTATTTGATTTCTAGGGAAAGAATTGTTATTAACTATTATAACTGTTGTTTTTACATCAAACTTCCTTTATCATAAAGTTTACTTTGAGTAATTTAATTTTTATTACTCCTTTATATTCATATATTTCTTTTAGTGTTAAATCAGTATTTCTCTACCATTTTCTTGTTATTAAAGCAGCATACAATTTATTTTCTGTAGGAGGTGACACTAATGTGTAATCAAATTTTCATGTGGTTTATGCAGATTTGTTTATATTATTTTTTTCATATAAACAAATGTTCGGGCATGGAAAGCGTTTCAAATTCATTCACGATACAATGCAAATGCAACTTTCTAGGAGTAATTGTATCTTTACGTAACCGTTCCGTCAACAAACCAAAAATTTTTTGTCAATTTACACTTTGTCAGAAATCAAATGGCAGGATAGTAGGAAACATTTGAAATTTTTATATTTATTTCATTCTGTACAGTTTATCAACCACTCTTTTGTGCACAATTTAAGTTAGGTATTACTAGAAAGAAGAATTAAATAGTAAACTAAAAGGCATACATCATATCTAATTAAATCAAAGATGAATAAATCACTGCTTGACTGTTAATATGCTTCAGGAAGCTACGAAAAGCTAATTTTACTTGTCTTTATAAACTATAACTTGTTAATTTATACATGCAGTATGTAACAAAGAAAGTGATATTTTTTATCTTTACAATAAAGAATTAAATGTCATAGGATTGTTACATAACAATATTTAAAATATACAATAAACAAAGTTAATAGGTCAACTTACGTTCAAATTTAGACATTCTCTCAAGGTGAAGTCAAAATTTTCTTGTGTAGCTTATTTGGCAGTGTAAGTAACAATATTAATTAATCTTAGACAGAAGGAAGGGTAAAATTATTACAAACTGTTAAGACAAAATATTGATTAATGTTTAAAGTATATACTGTATATTTTTAAGTATACAATGGAGTGATTAAGATTTAACGTAATTTTTTTTTTGTTTTACGTGCAGGATCTAGTTAAAAGTCATCTAATGTTTGCTGTGAGAGAAGAAGTGGATGTCTTGAAAGAGAAAATAACCGAACTTTTGGAACGCATATCTCAATTAGAATACGAGAACGGATTTTTAAGAGCCAATGCGAGTCAGGAAACACTAAATCAACTATCTCAGATACCCACCAGCCAGACTGCGGTCACCCAAACTACGGTTCTAGCGGCACCCACACAACAACAGCAACAACAGCCTTCGACATAAATTTCTTCTCACAAAGTTCCTTCTATTTTCAGACGTAGACGAGTGGATTTTTGTTATCGCAAGCCCGGGCAGAAAATGTAACAGTTAAAAAAAAACAAAAAAAAAGTTCTTTCCAGCAGGGTTGTTTCCTAGGTGTATATATTCATTACATTCTTGTTATAACTTGGTGCTTTGCATAAAGTCTTGCAAATGGAATAAATCTAGCACAAATTAAAGTTAGTAGCCAAATAGGACGTTACGTGTCTGTAATGGAAACAAATTTATTGACATTTTTTGGAAAATCGTACGATTGGTATATATTATATATATATATATATATAAGGGAAGAGATGTCATCTTCCCGTCTCTGGTATTACTTATGAAATTTTTTTTCACGTGTGTGTCGTGTGCGAGGATGTAATTACGGAGTTGTGTAATACATGATATCGGGTGTGGAATTTCTAGCTACGTAGTTTGTAATATAACCTGGAGCAAATTTCTTATTCGATTAGCCAGAATATCACGGGGAATAATTTATATACGGACCATCAGATAACGCAGCAACAACAACACTTCTCGGTACAGAGGAATTAAATAATTGGGAACAACAACAACAGCCTAATACCCGGTTTCCAGCGTCGGAGATAGATCTGAATTTTTTTAAGTAATTGGAATTAAAAAATGCATTTGCAACACGAATTTGATGCCGTTTCGTCCGTAATATACTCACGAGTTTGGTGTTTTTTGGAACAGTTTTTACTCCGACGACCGTCGCTATATCATATATATATATATGCATAACGCCTCGATAATGTAACGCATTATGTTGTTTGTTATGTTTTGTAAAAATATAAATTGGAAGTAACTTATATATAAGGTAACTACTTTGTCAATGATTTAGTTAAGGATATGATTTGCTTTACGAAAAAAAATATACACGCATATATACGCTTTATTTTAATTTTTTTTTGTGTTACTGGCAGCTTCTTGGATATTGTAATTAGCCAAACTAAGTCAACATCATTTTTTGTTTTATTTACGAGAAATTTTCAAAAACATTTATTAGAAAAAATGGTTATAATTGCAATATTACTGGGTGCATCAAATAAACTTTTATTGTGATTTGCCGGAAAGTGTATTATTTAGTTACAGAATATATAACCCGAAACCCGTCGTAATCTAGAAATTTGCATATTCGGACGTCCCGCCCGTCTGTTCACGTGTTACTTTTTAACGCGTCTCTATGGCATCCGAAGCACCTTTTACCGAAATTAATTAGGTCCTCCAAACGTCTCTTCGCATCCAATTAAATTATTCTTGAGAATTTAGTGTATTATTAGATGGTCCGGTTTTTTTAAGTTTTAAATTGGAAAAATTTTGATTTATTTGACTCCATTATTGGGCAGAATATACATGAACTAAGTCAAAAAACCGGGCTCGTCTATCCTTAAATGTTCCTCCTCAGATATTCCCAAGTATTTGTGGAAAATTATGTATATTTTATTGTAAAACTGTTTAATCATGTTTTGTGTTATTAAATGTTTGTATGTTTTTTTAATTATTAATTTTTTTATTTAGTAATGCATTATCTCTCTTTAGATGCAATGGATAATTTTATACGGTAGCGTAGATGTTTTTAAAAACAGAATTGTTCATCCCATATTCTAATGAAATTGTCTAACTACTCCATATGTTCGAAATAATAATTAATAAAATATAAAATGTATTACAAAACTAATGAGTTTTTAACTAAGAATTTCTCCCGGTTTCATTTAAATTTTTTTGTGTGTTTCTTCCTCTTAAAAGCTGCAGGTGAGACTTGTGTAACGATTTAATCGACCCAGGTGCGTCGTACAAATCTGGTTAAGTAATCCGAGGAAACTCATTGCATCAAGGTGTAACGTCGAGCAAAAATCTACCAATTACGCAATCTGTGATTGCATGCAATTCACGGGAAGACTCAACCCATTTGTATACTATGCAAATCTTTCCCGAAGTACCTTATAAGGTACTTCGAATAAAACGTGCAAGCTGCAAAGTGGCATTATTTACGAGGTTTTACTACGATGATGCATCGAAATCCCACGGATTGGTGAACAAGAAGCATAAATGACGTCGCAAAAATAGCTCTCGATGCCAGTTTTCCCAAGGAATCGTTTAAAGAGCCGAGTTGTGAGAAGTTGCCTTTAATAGTTTCGAACGCGTTATTCTATCCATAAAAAACACGTCAAAAGAATGTCTACGTGTTGCTAAACGACTTTCGATCCGTAACAAACGATTTATTAGGACATTTCTTTGTCCGGGAGGCAATAAACAAGGGAGCAAAGGCGGTCCTTGAACAAAATAAAAAAATGTTACGCACGCTTTCCAGGTATCTTTCTAACCTAATTTCGAAGTCGGGAGAGTTGTAGTTTTTCGAATGTTTGTCTTAACGAACTTTTAAATAATGGTTCTAGAACTTTAAATTGTAATAATTCGAATCGTGCGTAGATGGCGCCACTAAATGCATTACGCTGCATTACGTCCGTTTGACGTATATACAGTTGACGACCGAGGTGTGAAAATGCCTCGGTCCACAAACGGACGTTTTGAGCACTTTAAGGATCACGTCATCGGAATGCGATCCAAAATGCGCGTGGAGTAATTTATTACTCTCTTTGAGTTCCGAAAGTTTGTTCTCGAAACGGGGCACAAGATCGATTTGAATGGATGAGAAATTAAGATTTGTTTGTTATAACTTGATACCAAGTTGCTAAATTGCATAATCCCGTTCTAATTTCGCATTTTTTTGTAACTTCTGTTTTGAAAATACGTTTCATCGTATCATGCTTCGTTAGTGGCTTTTTGGGTTAATGTTAAGAATTGCAAAATTGTAGTAAATGTAAAATAATTAAGGCTAAAATATATAATTAGTAAAAATGATTTGTAATTCTTAGACAAAAATATATCTCGTTAAGTACCGTACGTGCGGATCTTACGGGGGGTCATCTAGAATCAACAATGTAGTTCTAATAAAGGAGTGGTAAAATTTGACTTTAGTTATTGAGTAATACGTTAGTCTGTGCGAACCTCAACTTAGCGACCGCGTTATCGTATTGTAAATACAAAGTTCGTTCGGGAATCTAATCTGGACTCTTGTGATAAAACTGATTCGCTTCCGTGTCTTTCTATGTAAGTCCATTAAAATGACCTCCAAATTCTATGACTAATAGAATTAAGAGCTATCGAACGAATGCAGAAGAGGAATCGAGCAATCCACAAAATCCCAGCTCTAGTCGAACCCGGATCCTTCGTTTTGATCTAAAAGGCACGTATTGATACGCATTTAAGGCATCGAGATGCGATAGTTGGGGATTTTTCCCCGGGCCCGGAGAAACCGAGACCCGTAGTGGTTGCTACTCCTATAAAATTGACCACTGGATAGCCGAGCGGTTAAGGTGCCAGTCTACCGTTCCGGGGACCTGGAATCGAATCCGGACCGGTCGAACATCCCAGAAATTTTTTGGGGTTGGCCCCCGTTCCTCGCCCCGTTGTGGGTCTGTCCGAATTCATGTGGACTTGTTAAAAAGTCCGTCTTGGTGCCTACAGGGCGAAATGAGTTTTTAAAAAGACTAATTAGATGATGGTGCAACAAGTTTATAGCCCCAATGTATCCAATCTTCCGAATTTCTACGAATAATTCCCCATCCCCCGCTGCAAGCCGTGTTGTAGATCCGTACCGTTAGTAACTAATTTACAATGTTGCCGAATGGTCACGTAATTTCTTGTGTATCGATGGTTTGCGTCAAAAATTCAATTTAACCAATTAAAATATTTTTCAAACCAATTTCTTCTGTTAATTTAACGTATTAACCAGACGAACTCGTGCAGAAAGTAACGGCTCCCGAATTTCTAAAGCAATAATAAACTCGAATGTTCGGGCATCAAATATTAAATGTGAATATTCGCCATTACTTCGTTCAAACATAAGAGAAATGCTTTAAGTAAGTAACATGTCCGATTTTTGCGAAAGTAATTGTATTCATTTTTGGTTGTATTTTTTAAATGTAAAAAAAAATAAAATTGAGTCATAGGTCTACGGGTGCGTATCGAAGCGAAACGAGATTATTAAACAAATAAAAATATTCTTAGAAACAAAGTGGGGCGATAGTGGGGGTTTAAAGATAAAACTGCTGGTGAATAATTCTGATTAAACAAAGATAGAGTATTATTTGTTGATTCCGAAAATTCCGGAAAATTATCTATCAATCACTGTTTTTAGTTCAAAATATTTCTGTTACTCGGTCGGTAATTTTAAAAATGTTTTACAGCACGCGGCTATTTATATATTTACACCCGAGTACAATTGGCATAAGGTACAAATATTGGGAGAGTGGTCGAGACGATTAAAAAGTCATTCTACCACTCTGAGGGATCGAATCAGTAAGAGTCATCCCAAGAATTCTTCGTGATCGATACGTTCAGGATATGTCGAGTTTCGTCACTCTGCCGCACCATTGTGGGTCCGGACGAACCCGTAGCGAGCGTGACGAAAAGATTTCCTTAGTGCCCATGGGACGGAAAAAATCAAAAATGAATAAAAAAGACAGTTTATCGTTGCACAGCTTAAGACATAATTACTTAACCTTTTCCTGTCACCTCGCGCTTTTGGGATCCTCAGACACAAAATACTGTATATATTTGTCGATATTCATATTAAGTATCGCGTGATACGGCCTTACATTATACAAAAGAACCTTTGCCAAGAGGGTCGAGCGATTCAAAACTCGAGTTTCGTATACGTCTGAAATTTTACGATTTTCTTCATTTTCAAAAGGAGAGAAATCAGAAGAGAGATTCTGTTTTTCAAAAGTGTGACCTATACAATTTGTTATAATACATAATTATAGAAATAATTTTGATTTGAAGATATTTTATAGCATTATTACGTTTATTTCACTACTTTATACATAATTTATGTAGAAAAAGTGTAATGAATATAAAGTAATTGTACTATGCCGCCATAGGGCTATCGCCGATGGAAAGTTTAGTTGTAATTGTTTACAATTTTTATGCAAAAAAATATATAATTAACAAGAGTAAAATAGGACAGGCATTTTTGGTGAGTATAGCGGTCTAAAATTTAATTTTATCTGGAGTCCTTTTGGTTGAAGTGTAAGTTTTCTGTTTGTACGCGGCAGCGATACGACACGTGGGCGATTTGCAGAGGGAGAGATGCCTTCCGACAGGTCNAAAATAAAAAAATGTTACGCACGCTTTCCAGGTATCTTTCTAACCTAATTTCGAAGTCGGGAGAGTTGTAGTTTTTCGAATGTTTGTCTTAACGAACTTTTAAATAATGGTTCTGGAACTTTAAATTGTAATAATTCGAATCGTGCGTAGATGGCGCCACTAAATACATTACGCCGCATTTTAAATCCGTTTGACGTATCATATACAGTTGACGACCGAGGTGTGAAAATGCCTCGGTCCACAAACGGACGTTTTGAGCACTTTAAGGATCACGTCATCGGAATGCGATCCAAAATGCGCGTGGAGTAATTTATTACTCTCTTTGAGTTCCGAAAGTTTGTTCTCGAAGCGGGGCACAAGATCGATTTGAATGGATGAGAAATTAAGATTTGTTTGTTATAACTTGATACCAAGTTGCTAAATTGCATAATCCCGTTCTAATTTCGCATTTTTTTGTAACTTCTGTTTTGAAAATACGTTTCATCGTATCATGCTTCGTTAGTGGCTTTTTGGGTTAATGTTAAGAATTGCAAAATTGTAGTAAATGTAAAATAATTAAGGCTAAAATATATAATTAGTAAAAATGATTTGTAATTCTTAGACAAAAATATATCTCGTTAAGTACCGTACGTGCGGATCTTACGGGGGGTCATCTAGAATCAACAATGTAGTTCTAATAAAGGAGTGGTAAAATTTGAATTCAGTTATTGAGTAATGCGTTAGTCTGTGCGAACCTCAATTTAGTTAGCGACAGCGTTATCGTATTGTAAATACAAAGTTCGTTCGGGAATCTAATCTGGACTCGTGATAAAACTGATCCGCTTCCATGTCTTTCTATGTAAGTCCATTAAAATGACCTCCAAACTCTATGACTAATAGAATTAAGAGCTATCGAACGAATGCAGAAGAGGAATCGAGCAATCCACAAAATCCCAGCTCTAGTCGAACCCGGATCCTTCGTTTTGATCTAAAAGGCACGTATTGATACGCATTTAAGGCATCGAGATGCGATAGTTGGGGATTTTTCCCCGGGCCCGGAGAAACCGAGACCCGTAGTGGTTGCTACTCCTATAAAATTGACCACTGGATAGCCGAGCGGTTAAGGTGCCAGTCTACCGTTCCGGGGACCTGGAATCGAATCCGGACCGGTCGAACATCCCAGAAATTTTTTGGGGGTTGGCCCCCGTTCTTCGCCCCGTTGTGGGTCTGTCCGAATTCATGCGGACTTGTTAAAAAGTCCCTTTTGGTGCCCACAGGGCGAAATGAGTTTTTAAAAAGACTAATTAGATGACGGTGCAACAAGTTTATAGCCCCGATGTATCCACTCTCCAGAATTTCCACGAATAATTCCCCATCCCCCGCTGCAAGCCGTGTTGTAGATCCGTACCGTTAGTAACTAATTTACAATGTTGCCGAATGGTCACATAATTTCTTGTGTATCGATGGTTTGCGTCAAAAATTCAATTTAACCAATTAAAATATTTTTCAAACCAATTTCTTCTGTTAATTTAACGTATTAACCAGACGAACTCGTGCAGAAAGTAACGGCTCCCGAATTTCTAAAGCAATAATAAACTGGAATGTTCGGGCATCAAATATTAAATGTGAATATTCGCCATTACTTCGTTCAAACATAAGAGAAATGCTTTAAGTAAGTAACATGTCCGATTTTTGCGAAAGTAATTGTATTCATTTTTGGTTGTATTTTTTAAATGTAAAAAAAAATAAAATTGAGTCATAGGTCTACGGGTGCGTATCGAAGCGAAACGAGATTATTAAACAAATAAAAATATTCTTAGAAACAAAGTGGGGCGATAGTGGGGGTTTAAAGATAAAACTGCTGGTGAATAATTCTGATTAAACAAAGATAGAGTATTATTTGTTGATTCCGAAAATTCCGGAAAATTATCTATCAATCACTGTTTTTAGTTCAAAATATTTCTGTTACTCGGTCGGTAATTTTAAAAATGTTTTACAGCACGCGGCTATTTATATATTTACACCCGAGTACAATTGGCATAAGGTACAAATA